ACCCTTCTCTGCCCCTTGCATCCAATTTTGCTGGGAGCAGTCTCTCTGCAGGCCTCCGAGGCTGCCCCTGTGAGGTGGTGACCCAAGTCTGGCATGGCCCTGGTATGGCTGCACTGTCCTGGGCTCATAGCCTTGTAGAGGCTTCCAAAACAAGCTGTGGCATGTCATCCTGATGGACAGAGAGGGGATTTCCCTGGCTCACTTGCCAGAGGAGCGGGAGGCCAGCTCGTGACACCTCTGGGTGAGGTGGCTCAGGTGTGGCATGGCACAGACCACAGCTCCACACAGTGCTCAGCCACAGGAAAGGGGCGTGTGGGTGCACTGCCTGGGGCGGCTGCTGCTGCTCGCCAGGGATGCCGAGGGCAGAAGATTGGAGTCGCTCCCTCTCTGTCCCCGCACCAGGCCCAGAAGTCTGGTGGTCCCGGTGGGAGGAGAAGGAATGTGGGTGTGTTGGTGACAGGCACAAAGAGCTTTGCTCCAAAAGGAAGAAGAAAATTAATTTGCTATTAACTGAGGATTCTTGATCAACCAAGCCACTCACTGCTCTGGGCTTCAGTTTCCTCGCTCTCCGGGGAAACGACAGATGCTGTCCCTGCACAGTCAGGAGTGAGGGAAGGCCAGGCTGGCGGAGAGGCTGGGCATGTAAGTGGTCCTGCCTGTGCCGGCACTGGGACAGGGGGTGTGTGGATGCTGAAATTGTCCTTTGCAGGTATGGCACTCACAGAAGTGACTGTCTTTTCAGGTGTTAAAGGAAGTCAACGGTGAGGTGTGCTGGGAATGTGGGGGTGTGAGAATGGGCAGGTTCGTATGCTCAAGGCTTGTGAATGTGCATACATGGGTGTGCCCATACACAAACACACTCATTGACAGCACGTCCACAGTGGGCTGAGCACAGGGACAGGTGGTAAAAGGGAAACATAAGACAGAGGTGAGCTCTTCCCTCGAGGAATTTATAGGCTCGCGGTGGAAGTGGGGCCTATGCAAGTGAAAGATGATTGAGCAATACAGAAGAGATACAAGCAGGTGACTAAAGAAGCACAACAGAATGTTATATGAGCATCTCAGAGGAGTAGGAGAGGGTGGGTTGGGTCAACTGAAAGAAGACAGCCCGAGATAATACCAGGTCCAAATTTGGGGAGGTGAACTGTGGCCTTTGGAGCACGTCAGTGAAACTGAGCCAGCGCTTGTCAGAGGGCACCAGTTCAGGCTCCATGAGCTTCAGTGCTCTCCTCTGTTCGGAATGTGGCCGTGCTTGAGCTATGTGAATATCCCCTTCTCTTTCCGTGAGCTACCCCAGGTGACACACACATCCATGGGAGAAGGGACTCGGTCCACATGGCTCACTTCTGTGCCCACGTCTCCTACAATGGTGTCCTGAACACGCAGCTCCTAGTGTTGTCGGAATAAATGTGGAGGGCATTTGTGAATCAAGCCAAGCATGGTGGGGAAAACGGCGTACACAGGAAGGAGCTGTGTACAGGCTGGAGGAGTGGGGTGGGAAGGTAGGAGGTCATAAACCAGAAGCAAGATAGTTCCGAATCCCCTTCCAGGGCTGTTGCTCTGGTCCTGACAGCCCAATAGCTGATGGAAGGCCTCTGCCGAGAAGTGTGTGGGGTGGCTGGGTGAGTCGAGCCTCAGCACCTGCTCCCTGCATCTGTCCAGAGGAGCTGGGACATGGGGAGAGGTTGGTAAGCTGGGAGCAAATCTGCTCAGGGTCACTCAGCGGTAGACCAACTAGTTCAACCCCTCATCTTGATGATGTAGAAATCGAGGCCCAGGGATGTGAGGTGGCTTGTCCAAGGTCACACAAGGGTGTGAGTGTCAACATCTTCCATTTGTTGACCCCATGTATGTCATCCTGGAGTCACAGAACAAAGAGGAATCCTGGAGAGGATTCCAGCCCCTGGATCTGAGCAATCCCCCACCCCCAGTCACACAAGTTCAACTAGAATAATCTCACACTCCCTTCTCACCCCAAACCTGTTATTCATACCTAAGTCCCAAGGAGAGAGAGACCCAATAAGACTGTGTCAAGTTAGCTATCTTCTGTGGATACCCTCTACCTTCCTTCTGCATACTGACCTTTCCCCTCCAGTCTCTAGAAGCTGTTTTACCCTGTTCATCCAAGGGACACAGTGGCTGGTTACACTACTCCTACCCCAGGACACATGGCTCCTTCCACAGATACCTTCCCATGGAAAGAAAATTAGACCAAGGCAAGCCCCAGAGCCCATACCCATTGGCAGGGCTTTATGGTCCAGCCTAGGGCTCCACGAGTCCCCCCAAGCTCTGTGTAGGTGCTGCAGAGAGCGCCAGGCCTTTTGGAGTTGCAACATTGTGCAAGGGCTTCTTCTGCTTTTGCAATCAGTCACCCCTGGGTTTATCCATGCCAGACGTCTCCATGCCCCTGGTGCCTCCTGTTCTCTTCCTCTGGTCAGCTGTGCCCACCACTCCAGCTCAGTCAGCTCTGAGGAGTGCTTTTGTGTGTTTCTTCTCCCATGGCCATTAGCCAGCGGCCCTCCATCGTGCCCATCAAAGTCACGCCTCTGCCTGGCTTTCTAGAACCTCCACAGCCTTCCTCAGTTTTCTCCTTTCATCACCATCCCTGCCCCCTCACAAAGGGTACTCCTCACTTTTTCTTTTCTTTTTCACATCTTTGCATCTGCAGGTTTCCCAGCCCAGAGCTCCCTTCCCTCTCTCCTTCCCTCAAGGATTCAAATCTCCTCCTTTTCCAGGGCCCAGCCCAGGCCCCACCTGCTCCTTGGAGCCTCAGGGCCACATAGGTTTGTAGATCATCTAGATCCAACCCCTCATTTTCTAGATGAGGAAACTGAGGCTCAGAGAGGTCAGTTGATTTGCTCAAAAGTCAAATCACTAGCTAGGGACTGGAATCCAGATTTCCTCTCCCTGCGGCAAGATACCTTTGCACCCTTCCTAGCTGAAGAGGGCAAGTGTCCTGGAGGGTAGGAGATGCTAGGAAGGGACAGGCCTAAATCTACACCAACAGCCACATACACACAATTAACTGCTTAATTATAGGCTGCTCTGCATTGTTACTTGAGAGTTTCCAAAGTAGACTGTCAGCCCCTTAAGGGCAGGGAACATTCCCAGTGCCATCTTGTCCTCTCCGAAGCCTCTAGCACAGTGCTGGACCTGTGGAAGGCATCACACGTGGGACCAGTGCCCTGACCTGGTAGGATAATCTTCCTGCCTCCATGTCCGGTGGCAAACAAAACAACAGAGAAGCCAAAGAGACTATCCCCTGATGCAAGTCCAGTTCTAAGTGCTCATGTAGATGAGAGGTGGATGGCGGCAAGGTATACAAGAAATCTTGGTTTTGACAAAGATCCAAAAGGGCTAATAATGGGTTTCAGGCAAGGAAGGTTTCCAGAATCCTTGCCTGCTTCCTTTCATAGGAAGGGCACACAGGCTGCTGTGTTTTCTGGAGGGTGGGCTGGGATCAAACCTCAGGACCCAGCCATGGCAGGGGTGAGAGAGTCTTTGGCACACACCCTTCCTCCTCTGTCCTCTTCACTGCTCCTCCTGGCATCGCCTAATGCTCTCTCCTTCCCCTTCTGTCCTGCCCGTGGAAAGCACTTGATCCGAGGGAGGTTCCTTCAGGGGACCGTCTGAGTCTTGTCCTGCCCAGGGCAGGACACTGGGACCCTGAGGTCTAACGTGGGACGCATAAGCACTGCTTTACTTCATGAGACTCTCATGTATGGGGAGCCAGGTGGGCTCAGGTGCTAGTTCCTGGCCCCAGAAATCAGGTGGAAGGGGCTCCATGATATCTTAGGTGAGAAGGGGATCCAGGGATATGGAGAAATTGAACTTGGCCTGGGTAAGATACATTTCTTTCCTTTCTTTCTTTGTATTCAAACTTCAAAGCATGTCTTTGGGAAAGCTCTTGAAACAGATTTACAGATTGGCAAGGTGCTGAGGGCACCTGGGGAGGGTTCACCAGTGGAAAGGTTGCACCAGCTCTGCTTCCAGGGTGGCTGGAGCCTTCTGTGATTGGTGGCTTCCACTCAGCACATCTGAAGGGCTCCATCGCTCAACCAGGGCCTTTCTGGGCTCCCAGCTCCTCTCCTCTGGGGCCTCGGGCATCAGGCTTGTAACAATGCCTTCGCCGGCTTCCCAGTGGGTGGAGGTTGGTCAGGGTCACTGGGTGAGAGGAAATGGCTGACAACACCCACTCACCCTCCTGCCAGCCTGGGATGTGCTCTTTGTACTCTCAGGTTGGCATTTGTGTGTTCCACATTGTCTTCCCTTCCCTAAAATGGTGTGGTAGTAGAGTGTGTAGGAATTTTCTTTCCCTAAAGAAGGCCCAGAGAGGGGCTGTGGCTCACACTGGGACAGGTGAATCACCTGTGGCATTGCAGTGGCCAGGTGTCCGTGAATCTTCCTGCCCCCTGCTCTGGAGGAGGAGTGAGGTCAAACAGTCCGGGTTAGCCATTAGGAAGCTATGAGTGGTGGGTCCTCTCCAGAGTACCAGGAGGGCTGCTCAGAAAGCTGGTGCAGGGGCCATGACTGGAGAAGTCTTTGCCCCACCACTGAGATGGCACCGGGCAGAAAGAGCAATTAAAGACCAATGAAGACAGACCCGCAGGGTGGCATTCCAGGGCCCTCTTGCCCAGATCAGACTCAATTACAGGGCACAATTACTTGTAGAAATGTTGTGGGGTAGCTGCCTGCACATGCCATTGAAGGCTGTTGGGGAGATGCTTTTCTCCTTGGCTCCAGTTACTCCCTTTGAGACCCTACCTAATAGACTCCCCCATCCAGCTAAAGCCACCATCTTGGTCTGTGGGACCATATCTGACACCACCAGCATTTCTTTTAGGACACTCATTCCAGTTCACTCCCAAGAAACACCACCCTTTTACCTTAGCCTTCAAGGCTCATGGATAGAGGTCAAGGTTCCAACTTTCCCATTAATGCATGGAGCATCGGCTTTATCCCAGAACTCACCCTGGCTTTGAAGGATGGAAAGGCCTTACCTAGACTCTGCATTTCGTATTGAAGGAGAGTTATTTTATTTTTTCCTTGAAGATAGACGGAGAACTGGTAGCGATGGTAGCCAGTTTTTGGTGGTGGGGTGGGAGGCTGGTAGGCTATGGGCAGAAAAGAGAGAGAGGGTGGGCTCCACATGCCACAGGACCCAGGAGCTCCTGGCTGCTCTGGGCAGGAGGAAAAGAGAATTATTTGTGCCTTTCATGGTCCCAGCTGACCCTCCTGGGGTCCCAGATGGGGGCTTACCCATTTCACACCATTAGGATTTGTCTTTGGCAGGATCTTGTCCTCAGAGGCTTCATTTAAGAAGCACATTTTTGGGGGTGGGTGGGAGGAGGAAGAGGTGTGGTCTGTTTGAAGGTCTCCAGTGCTGGTGGGTACCTGGGCATTTCTGGGCCAGTGGGTGTTGCCCTTTGTTTTTTCTTTAGTCTATCCTGATAGATTTCCTGCTTTGAGAGAAACCCATTTTCCTCTCAGCACATTTGGCAATGGATTTTTATTTATTTTTTCAGCATTTCCTTATGAACTCAATCCCCAAAGAAGTAAATTTCTTGGCTGGATCTGGAGGATCTGGAAGTGGTTACGGGGGTGGGTCGGACTTGGTTCAAAGGCTTGATCATGGAAGCTGTAGGACCTGGGTGCTTGGGGCAAAGGGAACCAACTCAGGCTCTTCCGGAGAAGGCCTTCTCCCTCCCTTTCACCCCCTGCACAGGAGGCAGATCTTTTCTGGGAGAAAAGCAGAGTGGGGGACGTCTTTCATTCTCCCCCCAAGACTCTGAAGGGCCCCAGGGTTTTGCAGCTGGACCTGGCCATTCCAGCCTGGCCTCCTTCCGAGAGTGCTAGGCCTCTTCCTCCTCTCCTTGCTCTTTTCATCTCCCTCTCCAAGGAGCTGAGAATCTCCTGGGGTTGGGCGAGGATGGAGTGTTAGCAGTGAAGATGCTGGTGGGAGGGAGCATTGGTGCTCTATGGCCACCTCCCTCTCCTGCAGATCATTAGACAAGAGCCGCTGGCTGCTTGGAGAGCTCCTCACGGTGAGCTTCCGGCCACGGCCTCCAGCGTGCCCGCAGCCAGGGGCTTTCCTGACTATTCATCTCTCCCAGAGTTTTTGGACTACATCAGGGTGTGTGTGTATGTGTGTGTGTGTGTGTGTGTGTGTGTGTGTGTATGTGTGTTCAGAGTGAGAATAGCACAGGGTGTTCCAGGAGCTATGTGGGTTTGTGTGACTTGGGGTCTACACCGGGGCAGGTGTGGGTGCTGGAAGAGCCGGCTGTTTGGGAGGGTCTCTGTCAGTGTGTGCAAAAGTGGGCAAGTCAGCGTTTTGTCACAAACATGGCCAGTGCTGAGAGACTTCTGAGCATAGGTGGGTGCCGCAGTGTCTCTTCGCGTGCGTGGTGTGTGGAGGGCAGATGTGGCTGGGCCAGCTTTCAGCAAGGTAGGTGGGTGTGAGGGTGGTTGAGTGCACTTGAGGGTGGGTGTGTCCCATGCTGCCAGAGGCTGGTGACCGTGATTCCCTGTGGATAAGGTTGTAACTCACTTGTTCTATGCAGCTGGGAATTAGCCTCAGGGGAGATGCAGACTGAATCCCTTCACTAGGAAGCTTTCCTGAAGAATCCCCCCTCCGAAAGTAGAGATGAGAGATATGAGGAGCCAGGGAGGGGCACACAGGTTGGGCCACCTCTCTGGACCAGGCCTTGGCCAAGTGTTTCCCTTGTGACATCTCTTTAACTCTCCCCACAATTTGGTAGGGTGGCCGTTTTCGCCACTTTCTGGGTGAGGAAACTGAGGCTCTGAGAAGTTAAGTCAGGCTGACAGTAAGTGGTGGAGCTGGGGTTTGAATCTAGGCGTACTTGGTGCCTGAGCCTTGTTGATTTACGAAACCATGCGGTTCCGCTGGTTGTTTTGCTCAGCCCTTTGCCAGAGGCCAGCTTACCCCCTGAGCATTCCCTGTAAGTCAGTGGAGGGCCTGCTCTTGTAGCCGGGATCTGAGAGGGAGGGGGAGCTGGTGGTGAGGATGGGGTGAAAAGAGAAGGGCGTCAGAGGAGAGAGAAATCTATGCAGCCACGTGCAGCCGCATCGTGGGACTGGGGGAAGGAAAGAAGAGACGTAGGCAGAGAGAAGAGAATGACCCGCCCACCCCTTCAGGGGAGCCGTTATGGGTGCTCTCCAGCCATCACCTGCATTAATACTGGCTCTGTCACACTAGCCATGTGACACAGGCACGTGGGTCTGGGCCTCAGTGTCATTCTCTTTAAAATGGAGATATTGATGGCAGCGACTTTAAAAGGAAATTGTGAAGATTAAATCAGAGTGTACACACAAACTCTTGGATCAGTGCTTTCCGTGTACACGGCAAAGTAACAACATGACATTGTACTGTTATCAGGAGGTCATCATTGTTGCCCTGGCTGGGGGGAGGAGTGTTGTAGGGTCTTACTTACCTGATAACACCCTGCCCTGTATATTCCCCATCTTCAAGTCAGAGCCCTGAAACGAGACAGGCACGGGTGTGGGTAACTCCTGAGGCAGCAGAAGGCCACGCGATCACCCTTCAGTCCAAGGGGGCTCTGTTGAGCTCTCTCTCGGGGAATGGGATGAAGGAGGAGGAAGATGCATGGCTGCTTCTGGGACACCTTGCCAGAATGGGCTGTGGGGTTTAGAACAGTGCCTCAGGGGATCTGGGAAGAGAAGGCAGACACAGACTTTACTGAGGATGGCTTGGCCGTGAGGGGTGGGCCCCTGACCTCTGGAGAGGCCTGAGAGGACACTTCCTGATGATTTTCCCCACTCTGGCCATCTGCGCCCCCAGACTAGGCACAGGACACACTCTCATCCTCTGAGGTCTGGTCAGATCTGAGGCGGGGGCTGACAGTCCTCAGAAGCTTGCTAAGCCAGGTCATCCTTCAGGCTGTCTTTGGGCCTTGAGAACATTAGACCAGTGACCGGCTGAACAGCCAGAAGGAGAGGAAAAGGCCTGACTCTGAGGCAGATTCTTCCCTAGCCTCCCCCAAACTCAGCCCATACTCTCCAGGAAGATTCTTTGGCTGCTGGGACAGCCTCAGTTTCCCTCCTTCCTTTCCTTCCCCTCCCTTCTCCCCTCTGCTCAATGTCTGTGGGATAATGAGGTGATTCCGGGGGCGGGCGCTAATGAATGTTTGTGCAGGACTGGGAGATGCTCAGATGAAAGGGACTGGAGCCGGGCCCCTGGGTCCGTGCCACAGCTCGGGGCTCCGGGCCATGCCAGGGAGCCCTGCGGCCCCTAGGTGTGAGGTTTTATAGCCTTAATGATGGTGATTAGCGTGGCTCTTCATTGATTCTGCCAACACCTAACTGTGCCCTGGACATCTTTCCACCAGGTCCTTCCTGGTACGGCCCCGCTCCTCCCCAACAGAGGTTCTCCACATGGTGGTAGTGGTGGGGGTGCTCAGGGTGGTGTTGGAAAATGGGGGTGCTCAGGGTGGTGGTGGGGGATGGCGAAGAGTGGCAGGGGGTATTGAGGGGGAGCGTGAGATTTAACTTAGTTCTCTGTGGAAAATCGCAGGGTCAGCTCGGTGACTCAAGCCCTAGTGCGGTTTACTTTTTACAAAGCCCCACCCTCCCATTCTAGAAACCCCCATCTCCTCTCCTTTAGGCTGCAGCTTGCCCATTGACTGTTCTCACTTTGGGCCTCCTTTGGTCTGGGTAACCTTGGTTGGGGGAAAGGGCAGGAGACCAGAGGGCTGGGCCCCTCCACCTTGGGCCCTTTCCCACTTTGCTTTCACCTCACATAGGTGAGATCTCTTTCCTTGGATATCCTTCCACCTCCCTTACCCAGGTCCTGTCTGCTCAGGAGCATCCAGGCAGCCTTCAAATTCAGTCCCTCAGACACAGCAGAGAGTATTCTGGCTCTGCCTGGGCTCTCTCAGCTCAGTCCCCAACTCCCCCAATATTGGGTCTTGCCTTGACCAGGGCTGGAATGAGGCCCAGGTGTGGCCAGGGGCTGAGATGCTGGGGCACCAGGATGAAGGGAAGGGGTTGTGGAATGGAGGGTCCTCAGTACTCATCTCTCCTAGGAAAGGAGCTAAGGCCCTGAGGTCTAGCAGCCACTTTACCAAAATAGCTCTCTGGCCACCCTAGCAAGATTGAGAGAAGGAGGCTGAATCCAGGGAAGCCCAGCCCAGCTCTGAGCTCCTAGCCTCCCCCTCATTCCTTTCCAAGTCAGTCCAGCCAGCGGTTTGTTTAAATAAAACAATAGCAACCTAAGCTGGCTGTTTTTTTTTTCAATTCCCCACAGGCTTGGTCCCACCCAGAGTAATAAACAGGCCTCTCTCCTCTGTGTGGTGTGGGAGGGGTGGTGGTGGGGGCTGTGCGGGTAAGGTCAGGGAATTAGTGTGTGCAGAGCAGTGTGGAAAGTCTGATCTGCAGCTTTGATCAGGGTGGGAAGGCTCTCCTCCCCTCCCTTTCCCTCTGGGGAGTCTTTTCTCATCAGCTGGGGCCAGCTTGGCAAAGACACATGCAAACCCTGGGACTTACTGTGTAAAGCCAGCGGCCCTTCCTGCCGCCTTCACTGGGCCCGCTGCCCCTGAGCTCAGCGGAGGCAGCTGCTAGGGGGCCCTGAGCAGAGAGCTTCAATGGCCTTCAGAAGCTTTTGGGTCTCTCTGGACCTTGTCATATGGACAGGTGCTGGTCCCTGCTGGAAGGGGGAGCAGGGAAGGAAGGCTCTCAGGAAGGACAGAGCATGTGGTCAGGATGGCTGGTATTTGCTCTAGTTGGGTTGAGCATCAGCTAAACTCCCTTCTTTCACTGGTCTGTCCTGGGGGCACCTAAAATATCTACCATTGAACTAACACCTGGGAGGAGCCTTAGGAAACCAATTCAAAGAGTAAGAAAGTTGAGCCCCCAAAGGGGTCAAACTACTCATCCAGAGCCACAGGAGCAAGTGGGAGAATCCTAGAATGTTCTAGGAGGAAGAGGTGTTAGACCCTTTGACCTTTGAGAGCTGCTAGCTCAGGGTCTCATGCTTTTGGACCTGCAGCGCTGTCTTGTGCTTTATTATTATTATTATTATTATTTTATTTTATTTTTTAAAAAATATGTCTTTATTGATTTCAGAGAGAGGAAGGGAAAGGGAGAGGGTTGAAACATCAGTGATGAGAGAGTTGTCATTGATC